TTTAACTTACTTGTTTTATTCTAATTCTAATTTTTTTCTATTTAATTTAAATTTTCGAATTAAATGTTTTTTTTTGAGAAAAAGGAGGTAAATAAAACATTGAAAATTGGCGATATTATATATCAAGATAATTAATATTCATAAATGATCTCTCCTTTGCTCCTACTTTTTCTTTTTCTATCAATATCAATATTGATTTAAGAATTTGGAAATATTCCCATAAAAATTTAGCAAAATGCAATGACCCACGTGCTGAAGTAGAATATGTAAATGGTACTGTAAAGAATTGTTTATATTGGCCTTGTACGGTTGGTTACTTTTGCGAGTATAATGAATCCCAAAATGGTGGACAGTATATTTGTTGTGGTACCAATGCTAATAATATTTATGGTTTGTTTTATTAAAACTTATTTTTTTTGAAAAATCATTTAACTAGTAGTTGCAATTTATTTCTGATGTTCTATTGCCTTCTGTAAAATGATACTGTTTGATGGTACTGGACGAGAGAGTCATACTGGTGAATACTTATGATAATTTCAATCTGTTATTTATGTTTTTATAAAATACCGCAAAATACTAATTAATTAATTTTAGAAAGAGAGATAATATTATAAAAAAAAAATATAAAATCACAAATGAAGAAATAATGGAAAAAAAAGAGTAGATTACATGTGTAAATTAAGGATAAGTTTGCATAATTTCAGTAACATTTTAAGCACTAACCTTACATCAAACATTGACATTCCGAAAATTTCAGGTAAAATACAATTTTATCCGGGCACTAATAAGCCAATAAATTGTTCTGCAACTAACAGTTGTGTATTTGTGGATACACCTAATTGTGTCATGTCGTATCGATATGGTTACAAAGTTTGTTGCTCAACTATGAAATGTTGATGACGCGTTAAAATTTGATATCAAAATTTGAATAATTTTGATAAAAAAGATGAATGATCAAAATTATTACACTATCACTTTCTCATTATTTTTCATTCATATTGATTATATTATAGAATGTGTATATTTCTGTTTATATGTAATCAATCATATTGATAACTATTCTCAGTAGCAAACAATATATGGATAATGATAGATGATAAACAAACTGATTCTGTTGATATTTTATAAATTAATTGCAAAAATTGATTCAAAAAATTTGCAAAAAATTTTTCCCATATTTTGAATTTGCAATCGCTTTTTTTTTCTTCAGTTTATTATTTGTCAAAACATGTTGAAATTATTTGATTGCATAAAACATTACTGGCCTTATAAAGGATTTTTTTTTCCTTCAAATTATCAAAGTTTAGCAAAAACAACAATTGATGAATTAATATTTGAAGCTACTACTACTACTATGCCAGATACAATTATGCATCAGATTGTTGATAGATTAATTAATCATGATTATAATCGTGATTTTACCATGTTTATTTTATCTAAAGATTAACCTGCCAATGATTTGATTTGCGATAATATATGTAAATTACGCAATAATTATTAATAAAACGAAAAACTATCATATTCCTGATTATTTTCTATTGCATCAATGAAAATAATTATATCATCGTTAATTAGATGATATTAATTAGACGGGGAAAAGGCCAAAAAAAAAAACCAAATACTTTCAACATACTTTTTTGATAGTATTTTAACAATTTTCTAAAAATATCATAAGATTTAATGTTTATATATAAAACTATTGTTAATATTATTCAAACTTTTTTTTTTTTTTTTACATAATCTTATCAAATCTCCTGCCTATTTTTGATTAATAAAAATTCAAGCAAAACTATTTGTGTTTCACAAAAAGAAAAAAAATTTCTTTTAAAAATTTCTCCAAATTACTTCCATATTTTACTTTTCTATTCCTGTTCTACAAATTTCGTTCATCACATCATTTATCCTTCCTTTTTTTTTACTTTTTACATTTCATTTCATCTCTTTCCGATTCTTTTTCCCATTTGCATTCTTGATCGTTCGTTTCTAATTTATCGGAAATCTAATGAATGATTTTTAAATGAAGATGAAACATCGAATGAAGATTTAATGACTTACACGAATTCCACGCCCTCATTGATTAGCTTAATTATTCATAAATGACCATTTACAGTTTGATTATCCATAACTGACCGTTTACATTTTTTAAAATTCATAAGTAATCGTTTTACAGTTTTGATAATTACAGTTTGATAATAAAAATGATTATTTGCAAAAATGATGGCGAAGATTTGTTTAAGAGCAATTTTAATTAGAAAAGGACGAACTTATGATTATTTATTTAGTGAAAAAAATTGATTGTTTAACAAATCAAAAAAGACAAATAATTAAATATTTGTTTGAAATAACGTCCAAAGTAACTATGAACACAAATAGCAATAATACATTTGTCCGATTACAGGAATCAAAATTACGTTAAAATAGAGTTTTTGCAATATTAAACAGATAGGATAATGCAAATTATCGTAAATAAAATTAAGGTGATCAAAAGGAAGCTAACAATGAGGAGAATATCACAAAGAGATTTAAGTTTTATGCACGGCTACAGCATTAGCCATAGCAAAAGGGTCAGCTAGCTAACCTTTGTAATGTGACCACTATGGAGCGTATCAAAGCTCATCCTCTAATCTTAGATATATATCGGTCTTTTTTTTTTTTTTTTTTTTTTGGAATCAAGCATGCATTACTTCATCCTCGACGCTTGTCCAGCACCAGCACCATTCCCATATTCCCAGCTATATATCATTCCTAATTTCATGCATTTACATTTAATACTTTTCCGGTAGTATATCCCACAATTCAACGAATGAAGAACTCTTATATCACAATTATCACAGAAATCTTATCAACAAAAGTGATAATTAATTATTATAAAAGGTAAACATAAGGAATTCATTAATTAAAATTGATCATATTGGTTGTTTATTGTATAATTCAGTTTTATTACTCCTTACCAATTTATCATATATCTTATTTCTGTTGTTTAACTCATACTATTATGTATGTACAAAATGATAACTTGAATAAAATCTATATCATAAATAAACCAAATAACTAATTAGTTTTTGTGATAGTAATGAGTTGTTTATTTTCATCTAAAATATACTCTGTAATTCTATTGAATATAAGTTAATAATTTCTTTGCAATGAAAATTTTATTAATCCTAATTGATGCTAAAAATTAACAATCAAAAACTGTCGTTATTTTTTCAAAAAATTTTGGATGAATGAATGTTGCAAGAAATTGGATAAATTTGATAAAGCAAAATGATCAAAGAATTTAAGTAATTCGATCGAAGAATTCAATTAATTCATATGTAATTTTTCCATTATAATTGATTTATGCAACGTATCGATCCACTTTTATGTCATTTCTTCCGAAACAATTTATGTATGAGATTGAAATCAAATATAAATTGAATAATTAAAAATTATTGAACATAAAATATTTTTATGTATTTCACTAAATTTTTCATATATATTTGAAGAAAAAAAAAATGGATATTTATAAACAATACTTTCAGCATCGAAAAAAAAAACAAAAGAAGAAAACGAAAAATTATTCACTTAAAGGATAACACATTTGATACGAGTAAAAAAATGCATTGCAGATTTTTTGTTAAAGAAATTTCAGGTAGGAAATCTCAGGCAGAAAAATTTCAGGTAGTTTCAGGATAGACATATATTGGATATTTTGTATTCATTATGGATGTAAAATGGATACTTTTTGAAATAATACAATTGCTTACATGCATGATTACATATTCATATGTTATAAAAATACCATAATTAATTCTGAAAATGATATTTAAAAGGAAATTTAAATTTACGCTTATAATGAAATTAAATAATAAAAAATTTTAAAAAATTAAATTTTAATTATTTTTTTTATTAAATAATAAAAATTAAATAAAAATTTATGCTTATAATGAAATTATCTGTTTACAAATTAATCAGTATTGCTATTTTTTTTCTAGATTAAGTAAACTTTGAAAGTAATTTTTTTTGCGCTATTTGCACAATTTCCTGTTTTTTTTTCTGTACCAATCAGCACTTTTAATTATTTAATAAAAATTTATTGTAAATTCCTTTACATGAAATATTTATGTATGGTGGTAAAGCCAAATTATTTCATATTATTTCAAATATAAGTGCAAAAGACATGATTAAAATGAAGAATGTTTCGATTGAAAAAATCAATATTTAAAAAACCAGAAATTCATCACCAAAAATATCTTTCCAATTTTATAACTAACAAAAAGGAAAGAGGAAAGAGTGGTAGTATTTACAAATTGGATTATGCATTTTTCACACCAATAAAAAAATTGTTTAATGTATTTTTTCTTTTTTTCCTGCATAAATTTTTCCTTTTTTCCCAAACTTTTTTTCAAACTTTTTTAATTTGACTTTTTCTCAAATTTCCCTCAAACTTTTTTAGATTTCTCAAACTTTGAAGAGTATAAGATTATTTTTGAAAAAAAAAAAGAACAAACAAATGAATAAATTTTTTTGCATCTAAAAAGAGGAAAGAAATGATAAAATAAAGATGGAAAAATATGAGAAATATGAAAACTAGTAAGGTTCTTTATCGAAACACTTTGCCAATATTTTTCCAAAATATATTATATAATTTTTCAAGGTAAATGAATGTTATCTTTATGAAGGATACACATTTTTAAGATATTTTATGAATTTTCATTTCAAATATAATAGCTATTTAATGATCGAAAAATGAAAAAAAAACATATTTAAATATTATTACATGCTAATTTTAAATACTAATTTAAATACTAATACATGAAGAATTCAACGAATGCTTATGAATACACAATTTGTTCAGTTTTAAAAAGAATTAATTTATTGAAATTGAAAAATATAACAGTTTAATTTATACTTATGCTTGGTGAGGATCAAATTTTTCTAGAATTAAAACTGAAAATGTTTCATTTATTTTAATTTTTAATGATAAATCATTATTCTGTTCGACTATTCATCTATACTGCAAATTATATCAAGACCCATATATGGATAGTTGAATTGTCTTTTTTCCATTACAATGGCATACGGATATCATATCATTTACCGTATCATTGACAGAATTGTAGCAAAAGTAAAAATTAAAAATTGAAAATTAAAAATTCAAAAGTAAAAAGTAAAGATTAGAATTTAAATTAAATCAATCATAAATTATCTAGTCTGTAAAATATTTCAAATTTGAGCTTAACATTATATCAAATTACTGCAAAATAATGTTAGAGGAAATTTTCAAGAATTTGGTATCCATAAAAAAAAGAAAAAATTAATGAAGTACATTAGCCTATTTTTTTGATAACATTTTTAATAGTAGACGATATGTTTGGAAGTCAAAAAAAAAAGAATACCTTCCATTTCTGCTATTCCATATTTTCGATTATCCTATCTATTGTTACTATTTTGCATTTCCAATTTGATTATCAATGAATACTTGAAGTTGTCAAATGAAAAATCCTAAAAAAAAATTAAAAATCGATGTCAATACATTACTACCATACTCTCAACTGTATCATTCATGTTATTCAAATATTGTTCCCTTCTTAGGGCATTTTCAAATTTTGGCTATTCATAACTCTTCTTGGAAAAAAAAAGGAGCAACAAAAAGTTGAAATTTTTGAATTAATTTTTAATAATAATATTCACTTAACCTTGACATTCTCTCTCTCTCTCTCTCTCTCCCTCCCTACCTTTCTCTCTCCCTCTCTAC